GTATATACCCTGTTGTACTGCGGTAATGAGGACCTACACTGTTGAGACGGGCCCACACAAGTCTGTGCAGGGGAAAAGGCACTCAAAGTCCGTGGATCCCTTATACTTGTGCCTAGGCAAAGGAGCTGTGTCTACCCTGGGTTCCTGGCTTAGGGGAGCCGGCAGTTTATTTTTACCCGTTTGTTAATTTGTTCACTCTCCAAGGCAGGGAGAATGGCTCCGGGCGTGTGATGATCCTACTTCCAGCCCAGGGGACTTGGCATTGCTGAAGTCGGTCTGGGATCCAGTGTAGAGCAGGGAGCGGGGAGGTAAATGGGAGAGAGATTTTTCCCTAAGGGGGATGTTTTTGATCCGTGCAGTAAGCCGTATGGAAGTACTTATCTTTCACCAATGAGTATTCATTCTCATTGGTTCTGGGTGGCTGTGTAGAGTCTCTGGTGCTCGGTCTCTCCCAGTGCGGAAGACACACCTCCCAAGCACCGCCACTTGCCTGCCTCACTACTCACCCATGAGCTGCTCAGGCCTGAAGGGCTCAGGCTCTTGCCAGGTCAGCTCTGGCAACTCCTCGCTGCTTCTAAACCGTCTCTCCCTCCCCCTGCCACTCAGTCCAGTTCCTCAACTCTGCCTTTGATGTTCAGGGCTCCCAGATTGCCATGTATAATCGAGTCACTTGTTTTTTTGGGTCTTCGTTGTAAGAGGGTCCACCGGAAGTGTCTGATTACTCCGCCATCTTGGCCCTGCCTCTACACACACGAATCTGTATACAAGTGTTCATAGCAGTTTTATTCGTTGTAGTGCAAACGGGAAAACAAACTGTCCTTCAGTGGGTGAATGGTTAAACAAATTGTGGTACATGCATACCATAGAATACTGTTCAGCAATGAAAAAGAAGGAACTATTGATATATGCAATACCCTTGATGAAGAGAAAGTTATGCTGAGTGAAAAAAGCAAAATCCAAAGGTTATGTGTGGTGTGATTCTATTTATATAACATTCTTGAAATAACAGTAGAGATGGAGAACAGAGTAGTGGTTGCCATGGTTTAGGGATTGGAGTGGGTATGAGGGACTGTAAAAGTGTAGCACAAGGAAGACTTGTGATGGAAACGTTCTGTATCTCAATTGTAGTGGTTACACAGAACTACAGAAAAACCAAATCAGTTGCCTTCGAGTTTATTCTGACTAATGACAATGCCATATGTTTCAGAGTAGGGTTGCACATACTGTTTTCAACAGCAGTGACCTTTTGGTTGGTGGTTCAAACCCACCAATATGACCACAGAAGAAAGACCTGGCGATCTGTTTCTGTAAAGATTACAGCCAAGAAAACCCTGTGGAGCAGCTTTACTCTGTGACACATGGGGTCACCAGGAGTCGGAATTGGCAGCGGGTTTGGATTTTTTTGGTTTTAGACTTTTCAGAAGTTGCCAGGCCTTTCTTTCAAGGCACCTCTGGGTGGATTCGAGCTGCCAGCCTTTTGTTTGGTAGCTGAGCACTGAACCATTTGCACCATCCAGAGACTCCTGCACAGAACTACACATGTGATAAAGTGCTGCAGACAGATGGTGAAATCTGAATAAGCTCTGTGGATTGTACCAATGTCATTTCCTCGTTGTGATGATGTACTGTAGTTTTACAAGACGTTACCACTGAGGGAAGCCAGGTGAAGGGTACACAGCACCTCTCTGCACATTTTGTTTTGCAACTTCCTGTGACTCTATAATTATGTAAAAAATATATACATACCCTGTTTGCAGATGATATGATACCATACACAGAAAACCCTAAAGACTCCACGAGAAATCTACTGGAACTGATAGAAAGATTCAGCAGAGTAGCAGGATACAAGATAAACATTCAAAAATCAGTTGGATTCCTATACACCAATAAGGAGAACGATG